TCCTTTTTGCTAGAAGAAACTCTTAATTGTATGAATGGTACTTTCTGAGAGTACTGTGAATCATTAAAGCAAACTATTGAACTCAAAGGAATAATGGGAGCCAGTGGGTCAGAAGTGAAGGAGCTCCAGGGGCATGTCCAAGCTTGCAGCTCGCATTCTGAAAGGATAGTGGGCACCAAGCCAGAAGTTAGGGTATCAGGTGAACTCCCAAATCTGTGAGTAGCATCGGCCAATTTTGCAGTCCGAAGGACCAAAACCAAACCAAGCCTAGTGCTGCCAAGTTGATCCCGACTAGTAGGAACCCTGGAGGGCGGAGTAGACGTTTCTTACAGAGGTTCCAAGGCTGTGAGTCTTCACGGAAACCGACTGCCATGTCTTTGCCCATCAGAGGAGTTGGCGGGTTGAACAGCTGACTTTAGTAGCGGAACGCTTGAACCATAGCACCATTGGGGCCCCTCGTGTGAAGTCCTATCAACTGCTGCACTTTGACTTGGCCGTGAGTGGCTAAGGTTCAAGTAAAAAGTGTTGCCTGGGCAGCTGGTGTCAGAACGGAACCCAACGCCACTGGGCTGGTTCTGACTCATAAGTACTCTGCTGAACAGAACAAAGAAGCGAAAAGTGAGGATTTGATTTGTTGTCCTCGTCGTTGGCATCAGGAGTGGGATTTCAACTCTCCCTGCACATAGAGGTGCAAAACTCAGAAACTGTTTCTGAAAACCTTTAGACCCTTTACTAAACAGAATGATCAAAATGTGAAGCTATTGTTTCCTGACACATCCCCCAATCACTTCTGGAGGTGACTGACGTTCCTATCTCTGACCCTTCTCGAACCAATCCCGTGCTCTTCAGTTCAGCCTACGTCAAAACAGCAGTCTTGGCATGCTCCAGGAACTCAAATCGTGTTCCTTTCGGGTGTTCTCTTGAGTTTGAACGGCTACAGAGCAGATAGGGTAAGGTTTCCCTATAGCCCTTCCTGCCCCTGAAGAATGAGCAGATGCACTGTTGTGATGGAAAAATAAATTCCTTGGCATACCTTTCTTGGCTTTATTTTCACAAATGCAGTTTTCATTTAAAAACAAACAAATAAACTTCTTTAGAATAAGCCCCGGTGATCATACGTTGTCATCTGAAAAAAAAATCTATCAAGGTCATGCCCCTTTGGAGTTCCCAGTAACAGTCATCACCTTCTGACCTGACATCTCTGCTCGAAAGTGGCTGGCCCAGCAGATCCCCTCAGAGACCAATTTTGAGTGCTTTCTGGATTGTATCCTTCCAAAATATTGTCTTCATTAACTTCCACCTTGTTTTAAAGACTCGATGGTAAGATAAGCTCTTCGAGTTCGCTGGTCTTTGTGCAATGCCTTTGACCCCCATTGACTTGAAAGCTCACTGAGGAGGCCAAGATGTTTGCTTACAACTGAAAACACACACCTTCAGTAGGGACCACATCATGGTAATTCTTCGGTCTTCTTCCACTCGTTTCTCCTTTCATCGAGGTGGGCCGTCTTCCCGCTCTTGGCTCATCATTGAGGTCTTTCATGCCAGTGGATAGGCAAACCCAACTTTTCACAAGAAAACTTTATTTTTGAGCATGAAGCTCAAGTTGCTGTGCTTACAATTTCTTTTCAAGGTGTCTGTGGTAGTTACATAACTTCATGTCACCTGGAAGACACACAAAAAGGTAGGTCACAGCCTGATGTGCCTCCTTATGAGCAGGGCCTTCTCATGAGGGCCCTGGGAACCTCCCTTCTCTGCCTTCACCTTCCTGAGGGCTGACCTTGACTGCAGCCAGAGCCTTGGAGATGCGTCTACTGCCATTGGATCCACACGAGTCGCACCCACCAACCTGTGATATTCCTGCATTCTGCATCACTGCTTGTGACTGGGTGAGTTTGAAGAGGGACTTTTGACTAGCACTGGACTTAGGGGCTTGTGTTAGACTGGGCCGGGCTGGTTTCTTGATACATAATTACTTCGTGATACAAGGTGAAGAAACTGGATTTGTTCTCTAGTTGGCCTGGCCTCACAGTGCTCAACAAACTCCTTTCTGGTTTCCTTCCTGGAAGCCTCTGCTCCAGGGTACCGTCCTGTTCTACCAAACTCTCCCCGTACTTTTCCTTCCAGGCCTGGCGATACATTTCTTTCAAAACATGGAAATGTATCTCTGAATAGGACGAGTCTCAAAGACAAGATGGGCAAAAAGTTCCCAACTCAGTTGCATCATTTCAAGGACAGGGATTGAAGGGCACTGGTGATGCTTCCAAATCTATTTTGCTCCTGTGAAGAGGGTTCCTTGAATTACACACTAACGTGCACAGTTCCTCATATAAATAAATGGACATCAAGTATGCATCAGGCACTGGGCCAGGTTACCTCCGAACCAATAATGTTAAAGCATGAATCCTTTCACTCATAGTGTCCCCCTACTCAAGGTAAGGCCTACTGTCTGGGACCTCACGGTGCTCCCAACCCAACCCATCTTCTAATATAGAGAGATCCCGTGAGCCAAACCCACTGCCATCGAGTTGAGTCTGACTCTTAGTGACCCTACTTAGGGTTTCCAGGGCTGTAAATCTTTATGGGCAAAGACAGCCTCCTCTTACTTCCGGAAACGACTGGTGGGTTTGAACCACCAACCTTGCAGTGAGCAGCTCAACGCATAACCCAAAAGAACCACCAGGGAGCTCTCAAGCAAAACAGCGTCTTAAACAAAGATAACTTATTCATGAGATACAGACTAACATTGAAGGAAGTTATCTGAAGCTTCAATCTATTGGAAGCCATGCTCCTACTGAAAACTAAAATTCCACTGAAGGAATTAATCAGACCATCTGCCTTTGTTGTCCCTTGCTTCTCAATTTCGACTTTTCTGTTTGCCTCCTAAAATCCACCTCTTCTTCAAGTCGTCTTATTTTGAACCGTAAGACGACACTTTCCTTCCCATGTTTACAAACCAGAATAGGACGCTAACTCGTGGGCTCTCTGGCACAGTAAATTCCCACCACTGAGGCAGTGGGTCCTCGTGGAGGGAGCTCAGGGTTCTCTGAGAAGACCCTGCTCTCTCCTGGCCGGCCACCTGCTTCGCAAGACAGCGTGCTCATCGGTCCATTTTCAGTATTGTTCCTTTTGGTGTCATGCAGAGGTGCAGGGGACTGAGGGTCCAGAGAGCCTCTAGTGTGTTGCCTGGGCAGCTTACTTTTGCTCTGGGACCAAGAGTTAACTTAAAGCAACTGTCTGACATTCATTCTACAGGGATTAACTCAGGATGCTTTCCAAGCAAGCTGGGTTCTTCCCAACTCCCACCTTATTGCCTCTGCTGGACACTTACTACTGTTCTGGATGGACAATAGGGGGGGACCTCCCAAAGGGTCTTTGCTACGTCCTCATACACTGCTACCTATGGGCAGGGCCACAAAGGTTACAAAGACCTTAATTAGGTAAAATTTGCACATAAAACTGGGAAGTGTCGAAGGACATCAATATTTACCGTATACCAACCATCTCTCAGGGACATGACGGTCACGTTCTACAAACACCGTTATCATGTGCTATTCCTAAAATGTGCCTCTTTTTGACAGATCAGAAAGGCGATTTTCCCAGACGTCTGTAGAAGGTGACTGACGTTCCTATCTCTGACCCTTCTCGAACCAATCCCGTGCTCTTCAGTTCAGCCTACGTCAAAACAGCAGTCTCGGCATGCTCCAGGAACTCAAATCGTGTTCCTTTCGGGTGTTCTCTTGAGTTTGAACGGCTACAGAGCAGATAGGGTAAGGTTTCCCTATAGCCCTTCCTGCCCCTGAAGAATGAGCAGATGCACTGTTGTGATGGAAAAATAAATTCCTTGGCATACCTTTCTTGGCTTTATTTTCACAAATGCAGTTTTCATTTAAAAACAAACAAATAAACTTCTTTAGAATAAGCCCCGGTGATCATACGTTGTCATCTGAAAAAAAAATCTATCAAGGTCATGCCCCTTTGGAGTTCCCAGTAACAGTCATCACCTTCTGACCTGACATCTCTGCTCGAAAGTGGCTGGCCCAGCAGATCCCCTCAGAGACCAATTTTGAGTGCTTTCTGGATTGTATCCTTCCAAAATATTGTCTTCATTAACTTCCACCTTGTTTTAAAGACTCGATGGTAAGATAAGCTCTTCGAGTTCGCTGGTCTTTGTGCAATGCCTTTGACCCCCATTGACTTGAAAGCTCACTGAGGAGGCCAAGATGTTTGCTTACAACTGAAAACACACACCTTCAGTAGGGACCACATCATGGTAATTCTTCGGTCTTCTTCCACTCGTTTCTCCTTTCATCGAGGTGGGCCGTCTTCCCGCTCTTGGCTCATCATTGAGGTCTTTCATGCCAGTGGATAGGCAAACCCAACTTTTCACAAGAAAACTTTATTTTTGAGCATGAAGCTCAAGTTGCTGTGCTTACAATTTCTTTTCAAGGTGTCTGTGGTAGTTACATAACTTCATGTCACCTGGAAGACACACAAAAAGGTAGGTCACAGCCTGATGTGCCTCCTTATGAGCAGGGCCTTCTCATGAGGGCCCTGGGAACCTCCCTTCTCTGCCTTCACCTTCCTGAGGGCTGACCTTGACTGCAGCCAGAGCCTTGGAGATGCGTCCACTGCCATTGGATCCAC